ACTCCAGAACTGTGCAGTCCAGGGAGAAGGAGTATTTTGATCTGCGTATTTAACTCTGTTAGATGGAAGGTTTATGTGCACAGTAATTATTCACCAGAATTGGCTTTAGGTGACTGGACCATAAACCACAGTGAAATTAACACTATGAATGGTATCCGCATATGACATCTCAATTTTCAGTCTTGTCCTAGTCATTCCCTTCCGTATACTTATTCAAAGTCAAGCCACACTGAACTCAATGCCTTTTCTTATTTATATTCCCCTCTATGTCCCCCAATTCACTAATCCACTTACGAAATACAAACTTATGTTTTATAAGGGTCTGGTCTCCTCCCAAAGGAATCGTCACATGTATAAATAATACCCAGAGTAACCCAACGCGATTTTCTGGCCTGTAAATGGGAGTCGGTGATGTCTGCATCATAGGGTTGCCATGAGGGCTACCCATGGTCACTTGACTGAGGCCAATTGTCCCTCTTGCTCAAGGCAGCTTTTGGTTTTGCCAGTTGTCCTAGAATAAGTGACATCTTTCACTCTCAAAAGTGCTCTTCCTCAGATATTAAAATAGACAAAAGCTGAAGTGCCCTGTATTTAAGTGCTTCCAAGCGTAATAAGTGGTTGTCCTCCAATGTTCTGAGAAGTGCTATGCATATAATTCTGCTGTAACTACAAAGCACACACACTTTAAAGTGATGGCCTACTTTGGGGACTGAGAGAATTTAAGGAAGATTCAGTTTATTTTATCCTCAAGTTCTGGGATATATTAGGTAAGAAACAGATGCCAGTTGAACAAGTGAATGACTACATCTGGCTGAGAAACAGGAGAACTGATGACGCCTAGACACAATTCTGAGCCTCAGGAAATCTACTGGACATATGTATGAGCTCCCTAAAATGCATGAGAAGACATGTTTGTTGGTGGCACTTCTTTAAACAGCTACACTTACTCCAGAACTGTGCAGTCCAGGGAGAAGGAGTACTTTGATCTGCGTATTTAACTTTGTTAGATGAAAGGTTTATGTGCACAATATTATGTATTATGAGAGAGTATTAGTACTTCTATACCTTACTATCATGAAACTGAAGTTGAAGAATTAGAACAAATGTTTCCTGATTCTTTTTCTGATATTTTTTACAAAATAGGGAGATGGAGAGCATTGTAAAGAGTGATAGTCATGATCAGAGTGTGGGAAGACGTTTGGGGCACCTCTACAAAGGGCTGGATTCATGGCCATGTTCAGTATGGTGGCATGACTAGATTCATAAGTCAGTATTTGCATAGGGATACACTGTGAAACACTTGTTGAAAAACCCTCGTTAGCCTATGATTTCAATGAGCTGAAACTTTGCAAGGTCAAGCAAGCTAGAGAAGTCAGTGTACTGTGAAGGTATAGAAAGAGGTAAGAGAGGAGATGGTGTCCAAGGAGCATTTCAGATTATGATGAAAGGTGATGAATTCCTTTCATTATGAAACTGGTTTCCCTTTGCCATTTTATAATCCTCATGCTTTCTAACTGGGCTATGAAAGTTAAAGGGAAACATGCCCTTGAGAAAATGGTAACATGACAGAAGATAGTGTTTATGACATCATTTAAACCTACAGGGATATGATAACATTTTTCAAAATTGCATTAGTGTCCTTAAGATTAACCATATAAATCCAAACAGTAAAAATAAAGATCATTTCAGGATAAAGTTTACAGATTTATAGCAAATTTATTTTCAGAAAT